GACCTTGGGGATTTTATTTTGGGGTAGAAACAGCTTGTTTGAGGGGACTTAGAACCTTTTTCAGTTTTGATATCACTTCTGGGGAGTCCTCAGCAATTTGTATGAGAGCTGATAAAAACGACTTTATGACTGTGAAATTCTGGTCCTGGTGAGATGCAAGCTGGCTCAAATTGCAGCAGCTTTAACGTGGCTTGAGCAAGCATTTCAAGGTGAGTGTGAGCTTAAGACTTCAGCTCAGAAAAGTGGTTAAAAGTTTTCTAAACTTTGAACCAACTTTAGCCTTATCCAGGAGAGTAGCTACGTCCACAGGAATTAAATGTGTGCTTGCAAGGTAGGTCTCTGGATCGTGGATTTAAATGGAGGTGGACGTGGGTTGTCCCTTCCACGTTCTTGAGGGTACGCAGTTGTTTTCAAGATCACAGATTTATATTTTAGATCTGATGTTGCCTTAAAATACCAAATAGCTTACAAAAGCTAATTCTGAGCAAGTCATCCTAGTAGTAAACAACGAAATGCGCTTTCCAGTCAGGCTACGGGAGGGAAAACCCATGAATTTATGTACTGTCAGTGACAGCTTCTCAACGAATGCTGACATTAACAGCGCAGTTATCTGTGGTTCAGAAGGTATGTTACTGAATTCTCTTTGTGTCTTGGAATGCTTGTCTAGCATCCAGATGATGACAGAAGTTCACTGGGAATCTACACTGGATAAAGAGAGGATGATTCACAAAATCATTAAAATAGTTGACTTCCCTCTAAGTCTGTCTGGTAATGTTGTCCTTCCTACGATCCGGTTTCAGCGAGTAGGAAAAAACTTTTCTCACACATATTTGGAAATAAATCTAATGAAGTAGACTGCTGTGAGTTTGTTCTTGCAGAATGTTAGGTATAGGTGCAATATTATCACTGCATGTTAGGAGTTTCTTTGGCTCTTGTACTTCTTTCATTCTTTAGGATATTTTTTGAAAGGAATTTGGTGGGAAGTCATACAATACTGGATTATTCCAGTTCCATAATCTGTTGCTTACACATTGAGAAGATGGACTTCCTAAGTTTGAGGACTGTAAGTTTAGAGAGATAAAATTTGGAATTAGCTCCTGCCCTGGAATCATCCTATCACAACTTTAATAAAAATGACCTCTATGTAGTTTTCTGGATTGGGAAGTGACTGACTTCTCCCAAGCAGCTGGACATCTGTAAGTGGTTGAGGTGTATAGCTGTACTGGCAAAAGGGCTGGCGGTTAATCACCTGAACTAGCAGGTGAACCAGAGGGGAGCCATCATACCTGGGCTGCCTTGATCCAGCTCACATCCAGCCCTTCAATCTATCTCCCACTTGTCATCTTGTATTTGTCAAGCATTCCAGGAGCCTGGCTGTGCCTCAATTCATCACAGCCTGTCATGTCTCTTATGACCTGCAGCTGTAGAAGTGCATTTGTATTAGGCTTACGCTGTCAGGAAGGTTGCCTGCCCCTCCCTTTGGCTTTTTCTTGTGTGTTGCTAGGTTCCTTTCAAAAACATTCCTTTCTGGACACGTTTTGCACGTGAGGACAGACCTGAGCTTCAAGCATAGAAATCCACATAGTTTTGAAACCAGGGTGAAAGGACTAAGAGGGTGGAATATCAGGGACCTCGGAATTGGCATTTCTGGGCTAAGGCTGTCATATGGCCTAGTCTCCCTCAACATGCCTGTCCTCCTCCCAGGTACACTCTCAGGTCAGGACTTAAGATTTGCAGCCATTTGTCAATAATTTCTGGATGTGCAGGAATTGCTGACTTTTTCCTTGTATGTGTATGGCCCAGTGTGTTGTGGGTGAAAACTTCAGTAAAACAGTGCATGCGTTGGAGACCTGATGTTAACTGTTTTATTTTCTAAAATGGAAAGATAAACAAATGTATATTTTGTACAGCAGTCAACAAAGGATATTGTTGGGTTTTGGCAGTAGAACTGTTGAGCTCTGCAATACATTAAAGTTCCCTAAATCAAATTTTTATGTAGTCCAGCCAAAACGGGACTCTGTCCAGAGTGTTGGTCATATTCTTAATTTCTTTTCTCTGTGTTGGTGAGTATTCTTCCCAAGATCATCATCGTGCTTTTTTGGGGTTATCTCCACAACTAGAGTCCTTCCATAAGCTTTTTGTATTTAATCGTAGTACTAGTTGGATGAAGCACGGTTTAGCTTCTAATTCTGTTTTTTCTATTAATAAAAAATTTACTAACATAGACTATACAGTGCAGACAGAAAGTCTTCAGTAGATTGTACTCTAAAACGTAGTCTGCCTGGTGGAGTTCTTGTGTGTCAGCATTCTCCACCCCACAGATCTTCATCCTAATGTCTTTAAGAAGTTTCCAAACTGCAGTGTGTGGCAAGTTGCCTGATCCATCCTGTGGTCTTGGCCTCACTTTGTTGTTTCCAGATGCTTCTTGAGGCTTCCAGACCTTTCATAGCAAAGAAGGACCTAGAAGCCATATGAAATTCCCATGCTTGTATTTAAAGATGATGAGAATACACTAGATATTTCCTTTTACTATTTTTCCTGTAAGCAGTTGCCACAAGGAGATTATGCAATTCTGAGTAGGCAGAGAGATGATCCACATGATTGTGAAAGAAGAGGGGAGGTTTCTGTGAGAATATGAAGATGTAATCCACATGGTGGAAATGTTTGGCAACTACCAGCTTGAACATAAAATGGACTGCAGCTTGTGTCTTTGCCAACTTTTATTGTTATGGAGGCAGCTCAGTTCATACTTGTTGCAGCTTTATCAGTAAATAGCATGCCTGTGCCTACAGAGGAATAAAAATCCTTTTTTCTGTGGCTTCCTCTGCACTTCTGGTTGGTTTGGGTTGGCTTTCACTTGAATGCCTGCAGTGCATAGAGACCTATACTCACTGCTTCCCTCCCCACATGTACACGGCAGCTGAAGAGATAAGCTTGAGCAGATGGAGGTTTCCTGGACGATTTCTGGCAACAGCAGCTTCTTGTTCAGGCAGTCCACTTGCCAGCTGAACCTCCCACATAGTTACCTGTGTTTACTAGCAGCTCCAAAGCAGCTAGCTGTTGAGTTGGACCTAGCTTGTGGGCAAGCCTTGCCCAGTCATTCAGTGGCAACATCAGACAGATGATTAGATAGGCCTTTGGAAAGGGTTCCTGGAAAGTAATGAGCAAATTATCTCCACTGCCCTCAAAGGTATGGTAATGGCCTGAGTTGTCCAAGGCTAGACTTGCTGCTTGAAATGTGTTGTGTGCAAATGTGAAGCTGCAGAGAGATGTGTGATAGAATGACAGACAGGGGCAGAATAAATAGTACTAAGTAGATGTGCTAAAGTTGTGTGCTGAAGTCAGAAAGTGGCCTTCCTTACCCAGAGAAAGAGAGGAGCGCCAGAAAGTTTGTTCCTGTGTGGGTCTAGCTGAAGCAAGTATCAACCTTTTGCCGTGCTGAAGTGAAGTCCAGCAGGCATTGTAAATCAGAGCCCTCAGTCACTGTGCATTAATGGAACCTGAAATGAGCTGTGGCTTATGGAGGTATATGGGACAGGGAAATACAGTGGTTGAGGGGTAGGGTGAACATAATACAGCAGACTAAGATTTTGGTCATAATTCTGAGCAATTAAGTGTTCTGAATCACCTTCTGGCATCTCCACTGATGGACACTCCATAAAGGGAGTCTAGGAAAATCATTCTTCAGCATCTAAGATGTCAGCTAAGACAATGTAATGTGAGCGCTCTCGCCATGTAAGGTTCCCGTAAACAGATCTATTTTCACATATGTTTTCACAATTACATTTCATAGTGCAATAAAAAGACCACCAGTGCTTCACAATCAAAAATTAGCATGACGACAGTGTGATGCAGTAAATAAAGTACACCTTAAGCAAGGATGTATTCCCACAGAAAGGTAGCAAAGAAGAACAACAGATAACCATTTGTAGTGCAATAACAAGTTTCTAATAGTAAGTACATTCTGGATAGCTTGACGCAAAAGCTCAAAAAGCTGATGTGGAACAACTAGACTAGTTTTTGCACCAATTCTCTTGGGTTTTTTTTCAGAGTACTACTGTAGGCTTTTGTTAGTTTTACTAATTATGTTTAACCAATTATTTTTATTTTGATGCTGCCTAGTAAAGCTTGTCTAGCATGAAAACAATATAGTCATTGAGTTTCATGTAATTATTTACTTTCAGCTATGTTATGTGGGCATGAAAGAGTAAATCATCAACAGGGTATCAGTAGGAATATTTTATTTTAAACATAACAGGTTCAATTAGAATCTGGTATAAATGGGTACTGAAGACAATACAGCAATAGTAAATGCTGTGAAATTGAAGCATGGCGTGCTAGAATCATCTGTGAGTGTAACACCTTGTCCATCAGCAGAGTTTCCTGAAGGAAGCATTTGGCTTCCCATGTTCTTTGTTCAAGATTTTTTTACACAAGCTTCCTGGTCACGTGTATGTGGAACAGCAAACTGAAATCATGCTGCTTTTAGAAATGATACTGTTTTCTTTCAGCCTGTCAGTATTTTGATGCATATCACTGTTTCCAGATGCCAAAAACCCACCAATGATAACTTTGAGGTAGCAAGGCCCTGCAACAGCCTTCTGAAGTGGTTGTGACTCTGTAAGTTTGTGTAGGTGATGTGTCTTGTCAAGTCGTGTGGCAGCAAATAGAATATTTAGGAAAGGTGCGTAAGGCTACATACTGTCAGTTTAGTTAAACTAGTTCTCCCACTGTGACTTGAGAGCAGGATTTGATTCCAGGCTTACTGGCTGCCAGTTTGATGATTTGGTTTCTTGAATAAACTGTTTTCATTACAGGCATAGGCCAGGTAGAGAGAGGATGGGCATTGCTTCGCGCGGGGGCATTGTTGAATACTTGTAATCGTGTTATGTATAACATGCATTTATATAAATGCGCATTGTCATGAAGGTACCTTGTTGTCTAGCGGAGTATGATAAACCCATATGCTGTTGTCTTCCCTTTTTTCCTTCCAGATCAATGCAATCCGATCAGTTGTTCCTAACAAAAGCAATAATGAGATCGTTCTGGTGCTGCAGCAGTTTGATAACAACGTAGACAAGGCTGTTCAAGCTTTCATGGATGGTGAGTACAATGTACCTTTTTCACTAAGGCAAGAGGGATTCAATTGCATGCTAAAGTATTCATTGTTTCTAGTGTCGCAAAATATATTCTGTTGTTCTGCTGAAATTCAGGTGATTATGACACTTTAAGTTTGGGGTTTATTTTGTTTTAATAATCAATCCTCCTATCTGCATCATTGCTTCTTCACAGTATGAGTTTGACATGACTGCTTGTCTGTTCTACCCAACTTTGCCATTTTTTGGTGCTGTTCTTGCTGCAGACCTTTGTTCTGCATGAAAGTTAATGCTCTTTAAAGTAAGTATGTCAGAATATGATTCGCTATTGAAGATAAAGTAAATCATAAGAATCTGGGAAGGTTCTGAAGCAGATAACCAGGCCCCTAAACCCCTGAACTTGATGCATACATTGACATTCAAACCTCAATCTGAATTTTGCAAATAGCCTTGACATTTATAATGGCTGTACCAAGACTCTATTGAAAGTTCGAGCCCTTCTAAATCTGGATCCGAGTTTGTATTTTGCATCATGAGACCATGTATAATGAAAGGTCAGTTGATTTAAGTAACACTTTTCTGATAAATATATAATGGCAAGTATTTTGAACTTTCACTGAAGTGTGCAAGAAACCCTTTGCAGGAATAATAGCATACCATGAGCAAATCCTCTCAAAACCTTTGTAGCTTGAGGCTGTTTAAAAGATATTACAAGTTCAGTGGTCTCAGAAGTCCTGTAGATCTTCAAAATGCCACATAGTGTTCATTTGCAATCTCACGAAGTGGCTTATTTTATATTTATTTTACTTCAAAATAGTTTGGGGTTTGGTTTGAATTAATTAACTAAAATGTATCAGCTAAAAAGCATCGTGATGTACTGGGAATTAATTACCAATATGTAAAAAGCAGATGCACGCAAACTGGACTATTTATCAATGCATCAGAATTCTTCCATCCAGTCTATGTGGTGCCTATTGATTCAGGCATCTGCATAGACAGATTCTGATGGATGGATGGAAATTGGAGTTTGGTTGTGCACACACGCACTGAGAGAGGAAAATGTGATGCATCTAATTAACGATAAATTTGTTTTTCTGTCCTGGGGAAAGTAGTAGAGGATTGCTCTAGGATTATTCAGCAGGTTCCTTTCATTCAATTTTGTCTTATTACCATTGCTCGCATGTGGTCCATGAGTTGTTTCCAGTAGCTCCTTAAAATGGGAGGTGCTTTCATAGCTGTGTGTCATCATCTGCTGTGAGGAAGAAACTGGCCAAAAGCAAGCCTTGCAAGAGTGCAACTAAGTCTGGTAGAAAAGCAGGCTGTTGTGACCTGAGCAAAAATGATCTTTGTTTGAACTTCCCAGCTGATGACCACTGTGCCTTGAGGTCAGTAGTCTTTGCAAGTGAGCTTTTTGTAAACAACCGCTATCTGTTACTGTCTGGAAACTGTGAGAAAAGATGTGTCCATTCAGCTGCCACTGTGAAGAAAATTAATCTAGCATGTCAAGTATCTTTTCATGTGAATGAATAAAACTGCTAAGATTGAAATATTGCAGTCGCAGAGAACACATTGCTACGTGCAGTGAAACGCATGGGCACGGTCATGCTGAGTGAAAAGGCAGAGCACCTCCAATGTTTCTCTGAGGTGCTGTGTGCTGAATCAAGAAATGTTCAAATTTAGTTTCTCAGCGTCAGCTCCTATCTTGCTTTGTACCTGGAGTGGTATGTAGGTGATGTCTCTACTATGAATTTACTCCTATATGTGGAATTTGAGTTAAATAAAATAGTGGTTAAATTTTTTATTTGCTATGTTAGTGTTTACCTAATTAAGCATAATCAGAAGGTCTGGACAGCTGCATTTTAGGTGTGTTCAAGAAGATAATCTGGGGAGTTCAGATGAGGGCTTTGGGACTTGCACAGTTAGTGCATTCCCAACAGGAGGAAATTGGGGTTAGTTGAGCGAATCCCTAAAATTATACAGTGATGGTAAAGTAATGTTTAAATTCAAGCAGAAAACCTTTAACCTGGTTGCAATTACTGTGACAGCTACTGCCGTAGTAGTTGGGATGACGATTCAGGCTGCATGCTTACCATGAGCATGTATTTTCAGCTTTTTTCCCAAGGGAACAGAATGACGTTAAATAGATGCAGAAGTGTTTTCTTCTAACGTGGCAGCTGGCATTGGTCTGACCAAGGTTCTTCTTGCTTTGTTCCATAAATTCATCTAACCAACTCTTCAGGGCTGGCAGACAGAGTTTCAAGTATACAAAATTGTAATCAATTTTCAGTACAAATTTCAACCACTTTTTTCTGCCAGGCCTATGTTTCCTGTGTTTGTGTGATGCAGAATTTCTGCAGGAGTCCATGAAATTACTCTTTTTGGATAATAATAAGTCTTTTTTTTAATGTTCCTATGTCTTCTGAATAAGACAGATAACACATAGGAAGTCTATGATTAAAATGCCAAAAGATTTCAAAACTTTGGGAAGCTCTAGAGTGCAGGTGGACTATCTAGTTTGCCCAGTGTTTATACTAGGGTGCTGAGAGGCTTTCCTTTTCAGGCTTGAGGTTTGAGTGTTGATTTTTCCGGGGCATATGCTAGTGCTTTAAGTTAGGCACTCAATCGCTTTGTGGAACGAAGGCCATAAAAAGCAGTGGTGCCAAGTAGCCCATCCTCTGTATGTAGTGTAATCAAATAAAATGGGTAATTAAATGGAGAAAGACAGCAGTACCCGTTTTGTTCTCCCCACAGGAGAATTCACAACAGCAAGTGGAAATGCCGCCCAGCTAGAAGACTGCAAACTGTTCTTGAACCCACTTGTTCTTTTCTGTTGCTGAACTTTTATTGAAATGTTTTATCTTTCCTTTCTTTAGGCAGTGCAACTCAGGTTCTAAAGGAATGGAATATGACAGGGAAAAGGAAGGTAAGAACTTACTCTTGAGTTTCAAAGCATTCTGACCATTTATCATCTTGTCTGTGACTTTTATTTTGGCCAGTACTTCGCCTGCCTTTACCAACATAGATGACTTCATTCAAACCTGTAGTCAGAATACTTGAAAGCAAATGTGCATCATATTTTTAATCCTGTTCATGTCTCGCTGTCTCTCTCAGCCACTGCTCTGAGAGGATTTCTGGGACAGCACATGTGTGTACATGGGTGTGGGAGCTAGACTCTGGAGAAGTACAGAATGAATCCCAGAACAGCCCATGTGCAGAAACACTTTTAATACGCAATGGAACTTGGATAGTCACAGCCACTTACAGTGCTGGAGTTTCTTCTGCCTGCTGTAAAAATAGCTAACACATAGGAGTCATCCATTAGGAGTCGTGCATTAGTGCCACTATCAAGTCAGGTACTTTACATATATATTTTGGTATGATCTTCATGCTTATGTATCTCCAAGCCAGAGCTGTACCTGGAGGCTGCCCTGTGACTCACTGTCATGGAGCCTCATCTTTATGGCTGGGAGAGCTACAGTAAGTAGTGGCCAGCCTATGTCCTCACTTCCTACCTGATCAGAGGGATGCCTTAGGGTGTTGTCTGTGTTACTGTGTGGATATCCCCTGGATGGTTAGGAACTGCTTGTCATGACTACAGACATTTTGAGCAGCATCTTAGCAGAGTCTCTGTTTTCATTTTGCAATGCAAGTATTTTATGTGGAAGGGAAAAACCAGTTTGGGGCTTCAATTTTTATTTGATATGGTTTCCATATTCAGCTGAACAGATGCCATGTGTTGTATGGCACAGGATGGCCTGTAAACTGCATTACACTGATGTCACTTGTACGGCATTTTAAGAGCACACACAGTTTACTGATTGTATTTTCAGTTTGAGTTGAGCTGAGTGATGTATCTGTTCTTGCAATATTTCTCTGTTTAGAACAATAGGAGAAAAAGAAGCAAGTCTAAACAGCACCAAGGCAATAAAGATCCTAAAAACAAGAATGGTGGACCTGAGAAGGCGTCTCAAGAGCCCCTGGGAATATATGACTGCCATCTGAATGGATATTCTAAGGACAACTCTTACAGTGGTTCTGCCAGTCAGAAACGGGAAGCCGCTTCTCTCGAGAACAAAGGCTCAGGATTTGTAGAGTCAGCGCTCGTCTGTCCAGAAATGACAGGTCAGTTCATCTGGCACAAGACACCTTTTTAACTGGCAGTAGCTAAGCCCCCATTTACGTAAGGATCATGGTACTTTTATTGCCATGAAGTAGAATATAATAAAAACAAGTTGGAGGGAAGAGTTTGTGCAAAATAATGCACATAGCTATTATAGTAATCAAGTAGATCTGTATCTGGGCACACCTCGCCTTGCAATATGTCTCCTTGCAAAACATCTTTTTTTCTAGAGACAAAAGGGCTGAATGACAGAAGACCAGCTGACACAGAATATTACTGATATAAATAGAGAAGAATGCAGGGTTAGAAAACGTCTCGAGTGTAAAATGGTGACACGGGTGATAAAGTCCCTCATCTGAAGCAAAGTCATCTGAGCAGTATGAGCTTGTGGCCTATTACAGGATTTCTTTATTGCCTAGTCCAGACTAGCCCGTTCTTTCTTCTTCTTATCTTCCTTGAATAGGTTAGTCACAGTAGATCTGCCCTGGCTTTCCCTAGCAGGGAAGGGAAGGCCTTTGTGGTGAGGGAAGGCAGTCTGATAGCTTCTTAGCGCGCACACATGTTTCTGCAAGGTCTGGATACTGATTCCAAAACTCTGTGGGACAGTAACACACAAAGCTCTTCCCCACTGGGTTGTAGTAGATACAGAGGATTATAGCAACTTAAATGGAAACAAACCATCTCCTCTGGGGAAGAGCTCTGTGAAAGCTTTTGCCTTCCAGTATCCTTTTATAAAGCAGCTCATATTGAATTGCTGTCAGTGCTGGTAATGGTTTTTCAGCTCTTCGCCATGTCAAGGCAAAGAGCTCTTTCAGCTCTTGACTTCTGACAGCTCTAGATAACTGCTGCTGTTAGTATTTTCTTCCTCTGTCTTAAGCAGTTTGTAAGACTGCATTAAAATAACTTTCCTTGAAATCCTTCTTTCCGTGGTTGCAAACACAGCTCTCAAACCTCATTTTAAAGAAATGTACCAAATGGATAAATGTCCTGAAATGAATTCTCTGCTGCTTCCAGATGACTTTGGTGCTAACCTCTGGTCAATTAAATGAAAACTTTGCAACCTAGAGCAGCCAGATATATCATAGAATCATAGAATGGTTTGGGCTGGAAGGGACCTTAAAGACCATCTAGTTCCAACCCCCCTGCCATGGGCAGGAACACCTTCCACTAGACCAGGTTGCTCAACGCCTCATCCAGCCTGGCCTTCAACACTTCCAGGGATGGGGCATCCACAGCTTCTCTGGGCAACCTGTTCCAGTGCTTCACCACCCTCTCCGGGAAGAACTGCTTCCTGATACCTAATCTAACCCTCCCCACTTTCAATTTAAACCCGTTACCCCTTGTCCTGTCACTACAGGCCCTTGTAAAAAGCCCCCCCCAGCTTCCTTGTAGCCCCTCCAGGTACTGGAAGGTGCAATAAGGTCTCCCCAGAGCCTTCTCTTCTCCAGGCTGAACAAGCCCAACTCTCTCAGCCTGTCCCCACTGCAGAGGTGCTCCAGCCCTCTGAGCATCTTCCTGGCCCTCCTCCACTTACCAACAAATTCTGTCCCAAGAATTTGATGTCTCACAAAGGATCAGAGGTGTTCTTCCTGCTCTTGCTAAAGACTCCCACTTTGGATAGGATATGCCATAAGCCAGACAATTTTCCATTTCCATAATACTGAAAGCATTGTTGGCACTTATTCTGCAAGATGTAAACGTTTGTGGTATAAATAATGTAAAGATCCCATATCAAAATTCATAGAGTTGGTTTTTTTTGAAACAGTGCAGGCGTGAATGAAGATACATAGACTGAATTGTCCATGCATGGGGCATGTTTTCTAGAGGATAGCAGACCTGAATGCAAGAAGAGTACCCATGCTCTTACCGATCTTGTCTTGTGGTGTTGGGATTGAATCCTTTTCTTTTTTCCTCTTTGACATGATGCAGTGTAGAGTTGTACATACCAAGAGCAAAAGCTGTCTCCGAATTTTTCTTTGCCTTTACAAGTAACAAATGAGATATTACCAAAGCTTTACAATTTTTATAGACCTCTACACCTATCCCCTGTTTCAAAAAAGGGGGAGAGAGGGAGAAAATAAAAGAAAAAGGCAGAAAAGAAAGGAAGTTGAGAGAAAGCTACCCTTTCTGTGCATGCCCATTTAAAGAAGGGGCATGAGTGCACTGAGGGGATATGTAATGCTGCCTTGCCATGCTATTGCTTTTGCAGGTGAAAACACTATAAATCACATACTGATCTCTTTCCTACTTCTTAAAATTTTTCTTTGTGTAGGATGATTTTTAATGAATCCTTCAAACTTCTTGTTTATAGCTCGAGATTTTTTTTTTCTTCTTTCAGCCAAAGAATCCATTGAGGTTCACTTTATTTAAAAGATTTTGAATGGCAAGCTGTAATGAAAAAATAAACCACGCATTTCAAAGATAGCAGCTCAGCAGATTTCAAAGCAAGTTTATTTGGGCTGCTGCCATTACTGGCAGGTCTGGTAGTACTTGATGGGTAATACAGTGGCGGTCACATGTTAGACTAGCGCTGAAGTTCCAAGCCACCACATACCCAACCCTGCAACATTTTACTCGTAGCTACTCTTACCCACACCTTTGACTTCTCTTTCAAGTATTTGACAGAGACTTTGTCCCTAGATGTTGTTATATGTGTTTCTTAGCTGGTCCAAGTCTTCACAGATTTGATACAGACTTTCTCAATCTATTTTTAATTATGTTAATTGCCCTCAGTCAGATTTGAAAGTTCAATTGCAGCACGCTAAGGTATTGTTTGATAGGCTATGTTGGTCACCTTGCTGCTGGGTTTCAAAGTAGCTCATGTCATTTTGAAGGAACAGTGTCAAAGTATATTGCAGACAAAAGCTGATTAAAAAAATGTTAGGGTATAACCATTGTTCTAGATGACTTTCTTTAGGCAAAAAGCTGTCAGTTCGTCATTTGTCTTGACAAGCATACCAAAGCTGCTAATTAAATGCTGTAAATTGCACTTTAACAACAAATTTCAAAAGATCTAATCTTGGGGACAGGACCAAATAACTCTGGCCCTTACAGCTTAGCTGGTAGACTGCTTTTTTCTATCTGTTGGAGTTAGCAAGGCCAGCCCCAGCTGACAGCAGAAAGAACATTCTTTATAAATCGAAGCTGTCTGAATTAGCGTGAGATGCAGCCAGGGTTGCACAAGATTAATGGCAGTTATCTGGGAACAGAGTTCCTGTGTATGTGTGAGACTGGTATCTGCACTGAACCTTTGATATGTTCAGAGGGCTGCATACCTGGTGCTTCTTGCTTTCACAGACACACGTTTCTTTAACTTCTTTAGCTATTTTCTTCCATACTATTTTATGTAAGATACTTTCTGTATTTGCAGACTCACCTTTTAAAGACCATAAACAAAAGCTATTTTAGAAACATGGGCAGTAGTGTTCCCCCCTCTTCCTCTGTTGTTGTGTGATTTGTCATGGAAACATACCAAGAGGTACTTCACAGCCATTCTAGTGCCCAGGCAGGGGCACAAAGCAGTGACTAGTAGATATCCTGGAGCTGTCCAAGTGGTATCCCTCGGTCCCAGCAATGTTAATCCCACTCTGTGGACTATAATGCAGTTGTTAACCTGACAAACTCCTTTCCTCCAGACACCACATAACATCAGCTGAATAAAGTGATACATAATGAGCATCTTCAAAATGAACTATTTTTCATTCATCAAAAGAAGTACAAAGATTAGAAAAATGAGTTAACACAACAGATCATACTACATGCATGTTTCCTTAACTAAAATTCACAGTGGCAGTAATATCTGGCCTTACTTGTCAGTTTTCATAGCCATTCTTTGACCACTTGTCTCTCTGCCATGATGCTGAGATCTTGAATCCCTCTGGAGTCTTGGAAAGACTAAACGGTCATCTTGTGGCAGCCAAACAGGCTCAGGCATTGTTATTTTATCCTTCTGAAGCTGTTGAACCCAGCAGCCTAATCTTTGACATTGTTTCATTTCCTGCTTGGTCCCTCTTAGCAACTGCTTTTGGTAGAAATCTGTAGTCAGGCGAAGTATTTCAGGTAGTAATATTTAATCAGTGCTTTTAAAGTGCTGATTAAATGGTGAACATGTTTTGTGTGCGAGATACATATCTCTTAACATTAAAGTCTCATGCTTTCCATAGCAGACTTCCTCTCCAGTTCTCTAATATTTGGGCAAAGGTTACAGTTGGTGGCATGCTTTCTATGTTATGAGGTATTTTTTCATACCAGCACGAAAGAACTGATTTTTTTTTTAAATGGGGTTTTCTTTTTAGACTATTGAAACATAGATGTGTTCCGATTAATGTTTAATAACCAAAACCATTTTGTTTCTGTTCTGTCATTGTTTTCTGAGGTTCTGTAGAATGAGTGCAGTGAAAAAGAATTATTTTTTTTTTTCCCCAGTGTGTAAACATAAAGTCATTCAGACTCAACAATAAGGCTTCATATCTTTTTTTAATCTTATAACTCGCTCTTTCTACCTTAATGTTTTCTTGCAGACAAAGAACGAGAACACCACAGAGTATCTGTGGAATTAAACCCTAAGACTACGAATGGAGTAGAACAGCATGAGTCTCTTCAGTCATCGGTTCAACTCCAGTGTAACCTAGGCAGACCAAAGTCAAAATCTTCCTCAGTTAAATCAGCCAGTGCTACAACCCAGCTTGAAACAAAGACAGATGATTCAGTCAAAAAAAGAGGTAAATTGGATCCCTGGTTGCTGTGTACTGAGGTGATCAGACAGCTGATGCCTCTGGGGGGAAAAAAGCACATATGTGAAGAGGAGATGTGTTGGAAAGTGAGAGTAGAATCGTGTTCAGCGTACAAAAACAAGTAGAAAAAATTATGGTCTATTTAGTGTTATATTAAATGACATTTAAAATTTAAAAAATGAGTTAATAGTGCTGTTACATTACTTATTTTATTTGGACAATTTGAGCAAAAAATGTTTAGAAATGGAAGAGCACCATGGAAGGATTATGGAAAAGTTTGATTTTTGGGCTTCAGTAGGATAACCACTTCATCCTATTCTGTGCAAATAACATGTTGAATTATTCTTGCTCCCTCATTCAGAAAAGCCAAAACCAGCATTCTGACTTCTGTGCAATTTTTATTTCCTATTTTAGGGCCAAACATTGAAAAATCAGTAAAAGACTTGCAGCGTTGCACTGTTTCTCTAACCAGATATCGCATGATGATCAAAGAGGAAGTGGATAATTCAGTGAAGAAGATCAAAGCTGCTTTTGCAGAATTACACAGCTGGTAGGTCACTCAGCTTGAGACCCATCAGCACCACCTGAGAAAAGGGCTGGTCAAGCCACTGGCATTGGTGGGGAGGGTCACGTGCACCCTGTTCGTTTGCAGCACTTGGTTTCATCAAAAATGTGGTGCCATGAAGTAACTCCTGACCAACCAGGAAGTAAGATATGCACATGTGTATGTTTACATGCATACACAAAGGGGGACAAAACTGAAGGTCTTTTAAAAAAAACTCACTATGAGTTTTTTTTCCCCCCAGAATGATCCATCTTGAACTAATTCTTTTCTGTCAAGTTCAGTGGCAGCATATGAAAGCTGTTTCAAAAATCCTCTCTGTGGGGTTTTCTGAAGTCTCTTAACTGCCTTGAAATCTCTTCTTTCTATACTGCTTTTTTAATCTTACCTTCATTGGCAGCCAGTCCTTTACTGTCTCTTCATTTCCCATGATCTTTGTTTCTCATCCCACCATTCTTTTTTTTTTTTTTCTTTCCCTCATAGTTTCTTCTGACTTTCCCATCCATCACTTCATTTTCAGTTCTCATCTCTGGTTCATTCTTTTTCCTCATTCTTTTGTCTCTTCCTTTTTTCTAAGTTTCTTCCATTTATAATTTTGGTTATTCCTAATCTTCAGCAGATCTGTCTATGCCTTTGAAAATCTGTATCAGAAATAATTGCTGTAGGTAGCAAGTTGCACATTTTGTATGTACTTGTCATAGAAAAATATTTTCTTGTTTGAGTTTTACTCGGCCTTTTGTTAAGCACAGATGCCGTATAAAACCTGCATATCATACGGTGTTGCAGTAAACAGAAAAAAGGTATTAAAAAACGTACAAGGTTTGGTTACAAATCACAGAAGAGTACAAAAGCCATTCACCCTTAATTCATCTACGTTTGTCAGTATTTTTATGAGCAAATCTTATGAAAGTCCTGTAGTATTGGCAGAAGTTTGTTAACTCTGGGCTTCAGTGGTGTGTTCACTGTCCTCAGTGGTGCATCTGGAGTGACTTCAGTGCCACTGGGCCTCCACTTCCGTCTGGGTGGAAGGTCCAAGTGCTACTCTGCCGAGTTGTGTGGAAGGTTCTCTTGCACTGAGCTGCCAGTGTACCTTTCTGTCTAAGAATGCGGGGGGACGTGCTACGTTGAACAATTTCAGTTCTGAATTTACTATTTTTCATACCTTGAAAAACACTAAGGTGTGTTGCCTAGTGCTGAAATGTGTTAATAGGTGAGCTTAACGGGGAAAATAACCCCAAAAGACTATGTAAATCCAAATAGACTTAAAATTATGAAAAATAGCCTGGAAAACTTTTTTTTTTTTCATTAAAGACTTCATTTAATTTTACTTCCTACCAGCTTCAGTGCCTAAAGTATTGGAGTGGAGTCTGCAAGAAGCTCTAGAACATAACAGATCTGTGCTCTGAATATTCAGGCCTTGCAAGGCATTTTCATGCATGTAACATAATGTTGCAACAAAGGCAGTATAATGTCAGGATATGTTTATGGAAATCTCAGTATGGGCTACGTTGCTTTTGGCAGCTCATAAGCCTAATATTTAGGGTTTTCTTCAAATTAATGAGGGGAAAATTTGGTTTAAACAGTAAAATGCACGACTTAATACCCTTTCTGCTAAAATTGAAAATAGTCTGGGGATATTTCATATGAACATGTGTCTTAAACTCTGCAAAAGATGGGAAGAGCTGTCTTTAGTGCCTCATTTACAAAAACATACTGCCAACTGCTCTAAGTTCACTCGATTTGAGTTGAAATCACCAGAACCAGTGACACATGCAGCTTCAGACCATATGCAGTCAACCCATCCTATTCCTGTACTGAACAGTTTGCTTTGTGTCACTTACATGGCAGTTTCCTTGCTTCAAAGTTGCACAAAGCATCCCACTAGCAGTGGGAGGCTAAGGTAATTAAGTGAGCACTCGGCCTCTTGCATATTTATCACCCTTGTAGGGCATGGGAATTTCCCTAGTCTGTCAAGGGTAAATGAAGCAATTCGGCTAAACTGTTGCTCCCAGAATGCGCTGGAGTAACCAAAAGCAGTACTTGACAATGATATCTGGTCATCTTTGTGACTGATTCCAAAGCTTTTTGCAAGTTCTTCCCCAGTTGCTGCTGGAGCGTGGGCTAGTTGAGATGTGCAACAGATAAACACACAACAGCAACTAAGTGCTGTCTGCGGGGAATACCTGAATGGGCTCGATACCATAACCTAGGTGGGAGCTTAACCGGTTCCTCTTACACGCAGCTGTCACCACCAAAGGGGTTTTAGTGACGCTAAAGGAAGTCAGAAGCTTTAATCTTGGTTTGCAGCTGAATGCTGAAACACACTCTTTTCTGTTGTCTCTCTTGGGTTTGTTTTTCTTTTTCTTCCTTTGGCAATAGGATAAAAGACCCTTTTTGTGTCCTTTTTGCATTTACTATCAAGGTCAGAACCAAACTGGCCTTTAAAGAGTCAGTAATCTTTTAGACTTTCTAATAATCGTATTTTCCGGGGTTTTGATCTTGGCATGATTTTATCAGTCACAGAAAGGATGAAGTGCAAAGATAACATCAGATATCTTCCTCCTACCTCCAGTTTGCATATGAAACTATTATTACGGAGATAAATGAAAAGCAGATGTGACCTAAGATATCCTGAAAGCCTCCTTTAGCAGCTGAAACTGTTGAGTGAGTGTTGCCAGCGGAAGTCCATGTCTCTGTCTGGCTCAGTATTTCACAGCTTGACTTAACGAATGAAGGGAAGGTACTTGTGAACACAGTCAGTACTATGCTGCTATTGAAAAAGTCACCTATCTGGCAAAACAGTGCACACCACCCTCCCGCAATCTAAAAAAGGAATGGTATGGAGCAGGTGTGCTGTGAACACCTGCAAATGCTTGGGGAAAAAATGTAGTGCTTGCTTCTGGGTTTAACTTTTTTATGACATGGAGCCAAAAAACAATCCCAGAAAAATGTTTAAAAACACTGCAGTGGGCTCACTTTCTCAAAGATCCTCCCAGGAGTTCTTGCCAACTGGAGTAATTCTCTGCGTGCTCAGAACAAGTGATAATGACTTGCTTTCATACCGTGCTTTTCATGCCAGAAGGCAGCAGAGCATTTTACAGGCCACAGGCAGGGCACTTTGCCCCACTCCTTGAGGTCTTTTGTGGTCTCGTGTGGATTGTGCTTCTGCTGTGACCTAGCACTCCCATCACCCCTGCTCTTGCAGGGATTCTTGATACTGATTTCCCCAAGGCTGTGAGAGCGCTGGGCAGAGCATGCTGAAGGGCAGTGTTTCTGAAGCATACCTGCACCTGAAAGTTAGGAAGAAGATCCTTGTTAACAGTACTCCCTGAGCCAGTATTTATCTTCTTTGCATCCAGCTTGGGTGTATAGTTGTCAGGAATACCTTTGTGTGACTGAGACCATAAACTGCTCCACTCACTGCTTGGATGTCAGATGTGTCAGAGCGTAGCCATGTCTCACAGTAGTGTAGGGCAAGTAAAAGAGGGATATCAAATAGTGCTCATGTTGCAGGGGAAGGTCAGACGAGCTAGGTGAACTCCCCTCTCACTAGAGTGCACTTGAGATGTTTGTTGCCAAGGTTAAAACCTGTACGCTATGACGGTGTTCTCACTTTTCTACCAGGAGACTGAATAATGATCTTGAGGATAACAGGAGAGCCCTAGGAAATCTGAGTGAGATGGTGCAGAGCACTAAAGGAGCCACAGCTCCTCATAACGCTTCCTGCCAGAAAACCATTTTCACATATTGGGCATCCACACAGTCATACGGAGAACTAAAAGGAACCATCTGCTACTTGCCCATACGGTCTGCTTCCAACCCCGAATGGAAAATAGTCTGTAGAAAGTAGTGAGGGCCAGGTTTAATTACACCGTGCAGAACTGGACTAAGGACAGACAATCCTCCTCTACTCTTTGCATCTCACACACATTGGTATGTCCAATGCTTTATAAAGAGCATGAAAACCAACATAGTCTCTTTTTTGGGGGTATTGGGGGGTTTTTTTGAGTGAACAAAGAGCAGTTGAAAGCTCCATCACAGGCTGAATAAGAAATTGACTCTGACATAATGCTGGAAAAACAGAGTTTAGCAATAGTAGCAATTTAAGAATATATTAAAATACATTCAGAGAACAACTAGGAAGCATGTGGTGTATATTTGGGGAAGGTGAAGCAATTTTTCTATTGTTTTCTAAGTTAAAATCAAAGCAGAGAGCAGTTGAGTGGGGGAAGAAGCCATTTAAAAGAACATAGTTGTGTCTGTGCTAGCTTGGTGCTGGGCGATGAGCAACGCTGCCAGTGCTCACAGCTGAAGAGCAGTGAGTGAACAGTCATCCCTTTTCTGGCACCCCGGCTTGGCAAACTGTAAAGATGATGGCTTTCTGTTTCCCATAGCCCCGAGCCAGTGGCACCAGATGAAGAGCTGCCTGTCTGTGTTAGCGATGTGGTAGTTTAGAGCATGGGCAGATGGCTGGAAAGGCCAGGACTGGTATTGCTTTAAAATAAACAGTTCCTGTGCTGTTTCTCCTGCATTTCCAGGCAGTCCTCATTAGTTCTCTGTCTGTGTGCCCACCAGCTGACCTTTGGTAGTCCTTGTGCCTCTGAAGTACAGATTTTCAAATCCTATTGCAGTTTGCTTTGTATTTGTTTGTCCATCAGTCACACAATCCAGTCCATAGCCTTGCCAGTGCAGAGAAGGAACAAATAGTCTCCAAGCATTTAGGCTTCCTTGTGACCACCTGCGTTTTCAGGTACCTTCAAAGACCAGTGCTTTTAGCAAGGTCCCTGGGTGCTGCTCCTACTGGCTGGTGGGTCTGGGAGGACCTGGTCCAGCAGCTTTGGCCTGGGGCTGGCTACTTGCCTGCAGAGCTGCAGCACCAAGAGAGGGGCTTGTGCTTGCTCTCTGCTCACCACCTCCAGCAGTTTAGGATTACCCTTGCTGTGTATTAGTGGAGAGAACAGATGGAGCTCATGAAACTGGGGGGGGGG